CATCGCTCTCCCCATCTAAGAATCCAAAAGTGCTTTGCAAACATTGACTCATTCCTTGCAACATCTCTACGTGATAAAATGTCTCAGTTTTACAGACAGGGAACCTGAAACATAAAAGACTCAACTTTGCTTATTGAGTCTGCAGGGTGCCAGTGGCACAGCCTAAATCTCCCTATCCCTGCTCAGTTGCAGCGCTGGAACAGTCTTGCCCCCCTGCAAGCACTGACAGTAGTTACTGTGCAGCTTTCTAAAGGGATGTGTGAGTGGCAAGATGCTGCTGGCATTGTCCTTGGAGTCCTTCCATGCCAGGAAATGCACACAGAACATCTTCACTGTCTGGTTTAACCAGGGTGACGAGCATCCAGGTCTGAACAGTCCAGCTAGCCTTGTCTCGGTGTGACCACAGCAGGAGCTGTGTAACCGTGTCCTCCCCATTCCTGCAGTTGCTTCTGTGCATCTGTGACGTGTGCCGTAACTTTGTTTGCCAAGATGCTTAGGGCTCTTTCCCACAACTGCTGGTTTGCCCTTCAGGGGTGACTGTGGGAAAGACATTGGAAGATTGCCGGCACTAAAGTGATCTTTGACTGTATCTTCGTTAGGGAGTGAAGAGGTTGGGAAAGGAAGAAAGGCGGGGGGGGCAAGTGATTCAACCTTTCTCTCCCAGCTGTGTAAGCTTGCACTGATGGTTTGCATTTGCTGGGGTTTGTACTGAGAAAGCAAGGGGCAGTGACTCTAACTCGGGTTAGTGGTGCAGTAGGCACCCACTCCTACAAAGAGCCCTTGCCACAGCCAGCTTCCAACAGTATGTCCTTTGGTACCTGGGAGAGTAACTTGGAAATACAGTGAAATTATGTTCTATGTCAGTGACAGAGCTTGGAAGGGCACTGAGACCTCCTTCTGTGACAGATCCATGAGATCAAACACTCTGATCGTAAAGCAAAACACAAATGCAAGAATAAATAAACCTTTCTTAATCCAATCAGCCTGGATATTCTTGAATCTCATAAAATAACTGCCAGTGGTTGCTTGAGAAGAGGTTGTTATAAACATGGCTTAGAAGGAGGGGACATCCAAACTTTGTGCAACCCGGTGATTGCATTGGCGATTTTCCAGGAGCCCCATGGACTGCTGCTAATTGCCATCAACTTAAGGAGGTTGCAGCCACCCTCGTCTTCAGTACAAAGGCAGGGCCCCAGGGAGGCGGCAGGTTCTAGTGTGTGGCTCACATTGAGAAGGAGCGCAGCACGCTGGGACATGTAGTCTCCTCAGGCCCTTTGTCCCTGTTGACAGAGGTCTGGGAAAGCTGCAGGCCACACTGGACACCTTTGCAAAGGTTTGACAACCCCTGTCTTGAAAGAGGGGGGAAGAATTAGGTTTGGCTTTGTTTAAGTTCATGGGCTGTTAATCAGCATTCATGAGACTTAAAAATAAATGAAAAACGCCAACAAACCTCATTTCCTCCCTCTCTCTCCTCTGCCCAGAAGCAGAGTACTGGTAGAAACCTAAGCTGGAAAAAATAGTTGAAAGTCAGCTAAAGTCACCTTGGTAACTGCAGCAATACACTTGCCCAGAACAGGAGACATCAAACCCAACTACAAACAGCTTTAAAGAAACAAAAAGAATGTAATCATCTAAAGAATTAATCTGACAACTGCCCACGTTTACACCTCCCACCAGCTCCCAATCAGAGGGAAATGCGCTTTAATCTCCTCCAACTCCCTTCCAGTTTCACAAAACACGAGATGTGCAGTCCTTAAACTGGGGCATTTCCGGCATGCCGCTTCCATTTAAATCTACAGCCTTTCCTAATGCAGCAGCCTGGCGTTTCCAGACTTGTTTTTTCTGGACACTGAGAAACATGAATTTTTTTGTGTGGGTTGGATGAAGTATTAAATCTGGAATAGACAAGGTTTGCAGCATTTTACATGATAGTCAGCTAGATCTTAGTCATAACAAGTAAAACTCCACTGGCTTTCGGTGCTGATTTATTTGGTGATGGGGTGGAGGAAGCAAAGGCTTACGGGTAACTGACAGTTGTAAAACCAGGGATGTTAGTGTTAGGAAGCAGACTTTTTCTACATTTTCTTCTGAGGCTGAAAGCTACAAGCTGTGGATGGCAATGTGTGTTATGACAAGAGCATTTCATTAATAACAACCTCCAAGTCCTGCCGACCCTTCATCTTGGCCATCGCCCTTTGGAAGGATTTCCATTCCCCAAAAGAGAATTTTAAGGGGTCATGCCAAGTCCCTGTGTCATGCAACATATTCCAGAGTCTGCAAGTAATTGCACTGTGGCCTTTTGGATGTGTTATACGCAGTCCACAACACACAACTCTTGTATAGGAAAGTTTAGCTTAGATAGACGGTTATTTGGTTTCTGCTATAGGAGCTTCACCCTTAACTTTAAATAGCTGCGATTGTGTGAGAAACACAGACACCGTGACTATTTTGGGAAGGTTTTGTGGAAAGGATTAATACTTTCATGTCATTCAAAGTATTAACTGCTATTTTGCTTCACTCCTTCACCTTTTTGACAGAAGGGCTGGTTACTTATTAATGTGAAGTCATAATTATTGACAGCCTTAAAGTCATGACAGTTCCGTTTGATAGTTACACATTAGTCAACATCTTCTCTTGAGCATGTAATGACAAACAGCATTTGCTGGTTTTAATAAGACTTAGAAAGCTTTGCCCCTTGCCTCCAGAATACTGTCGTCATTCCTATTATTGCATTAGCAACCGGAGGCTGTTTTCCCTCCGGACTGCAGCCCCATTGTGCTAGGGGCTGTACTGGATAGCATAGTGGGAACCTAAAATCCCACCTTCAGCTCAGGGAGGTTTGGAGCCATGGGGCATGGGGAACTGTCCTGTGTCTGTTTGTCCTTCTGAAGCATAAACCTACCTACAGCAGCAGTTGCCTGGAAGGCTGTAAGGGGACCTGCCCAGCACTTTTAGGTGGTCCAGGTGGCAATGGCACAGTCTCTTGTCTATAGCAGTAATATTGCTGTAAAGCTCCTGATCTGCTCCAGGGTGCATAAACTGCATTTAACGAGTGCAAGCTTATGGCCTGCTTGAAAATCATGCGTTGCTAATGGGTGACCCTTTGGTAGGGGTTGATAAATGAATGATTGGAAGCTGTAGACCACAGGCTGACTTTCCCACAGCTCACTGTGTATATAAGATCTGATAAGGAAGTTGAGGCAAAGCTTAGCTTAAGGTCAACTGATCATTAATCAACTGTAACTGCACTCCTCTGGTAATCAGCCTGTAAAATGCTGGCCCACTCCACTCTTTGAAGACCCCACCTACAAAGAGCTGTAAAATGTTTGCTGAAGTAGATTAAACATAGCTTTAAGTGCCACCTATGGACTACAAAGCATGTTGTGTCTTTGCTTCAGGGTTAAGCCACCAAACTCGATGCTCTTGCTGACTTGTCAGTCCATCAGCCCCCCCTGTGTATAATCTGTGTCCTGAGTTACTGTGTCCTTGCTGGGCCCACATTGCTTTTGTGTGTTGCCAAGGCAGAAGCTGGGACATGGTTTAGTTTTTTGTCTTGCAGGCAGCCGAGCTGCTCTGGTTTATTTTTTCTCCTCATGTTTCTGGCCTGGCCATGCAGAGTATTTGCAGGAAAGCACTGTGAGATATCAGAGTTTAGCTTGTATCCTCATTTCAGAGTGGGCAGCTCAGCAGTCTGGGTGAAAGGCTCACCTAGGTCTGGGTGACCTGGCGAAGCAACAGGCCGATCTGCTTTGGAAGCCACACTGAACTATATTACAGTGAGAGTGGTGGATGCGAGTTATTTTGGGACAGAACCCAAATGTAAAATCAAGTAAAGGTGTGATTTAAGTCAGCTTGTGAGGGTCAGGCTGCTTCTTTATGACCGTTTCCAGATGTACATTAAAGTGGTTCCTCTTAGGTGGAGGAAAGACCACATTTACCAGTGTTCCCAAATGGAGCCACAGCCTGATAGCCTTGTTTGGCTTTTTGTCTGTCTGACACGATGAAAACACATTGCAGTGTGGCATCTCCCAGTTTCCTTCTGCTTTCCCTGTCCTCCTCTGGTGATTCTGTGCTACAAAAACTATCTCAACAAAGTCTTACCTCTGTTAAGTTCACATGGAATGCTAGGTGGTAAAAATACATCACATATCAGACACATCCCAGCAGTCTGTCATCTGCAAAAACTGTAAACCCCCATTTTCTTTGTTCTGGACTATCAAGTAAGGGATCGCGCTGATGCTCTTTGGACATATAAAGTGTTTATGGTCAAGTGTTTAGAGATATACCGTTGGATTATCTAGAGGATTCTTTCTGGCGAAGTTCTAATTATGTAACAGCATGACCTTTAGTCCCAGCTTCACAATATGCTGGTCTTGCAGAAATGAACAAATAAGAAAGCAAAGCTGTATTGTCTTAAAGCAGCTCCGCTTACAAGTGAAAACAGTCTTCAGATGTCCTACTTGTCACATGTAGAGTCCACCTTCTGGCTGTTGCACTTGATGCTGGTGGAAGAGGAGGGTTCTCTAAACCTTTTGTTTGAACTGTGCAGAGAAATGACTTAGGGATGCCTCAGACCTCAAAGATATTCAAGCAAAGGCACCAGGGACTGGACAACTCTGTCCTACAGGCCACTGCCTAAAAATCCTGAAGATAAAGCAAAAGCAGGAGGGAGGGCACACCTGGTAAATTTTCCAAGCCATTTTAAGGGGTTTTGGAGAACATAGGTTTGCTCCAGTTCTTTCCAAAACTTTTAGTTCTTGTATGCTGGGAAGGGATGCGCCATGTGTGCGCCAATTCAGATCCCAGGTCGTCAAATCAAGGTGAAGAGCTGCAAGCTGGGGCTGAGGGAGGCTGTCTCTCTGTAGGAGTGATGAAAACTCAGATGTGCGTTTGTACAGTTTGCTCCTGTGTCCTTCAGCATTCACACAATCGCTTTGAAACACAGCAGAAAGCACACAGCACTGGGATCCTAAATATGTGTGTTTTGTCTCTTCTCTTAGGAGCCGTAAGGACAGCTTAGAGAGCGAGAGCTCAGCAGCTATCATTCCTCATGAGCTAATCCGCACGAGACAGCTGGAGAGTGTACACCTGAAATTTAACCAGGAGTCCGGAGCACTCATTCCCCTCTGTCTAAGGTGAGCGAAGCTGTCCTCCTCCTCAGCTTGTGCTAACATGCTGCTTTTGCCTTGTGGCGTTGTTTCACCATACAGACATGCATGCAATGGATCTTTAAAGGCCAGAGCTGAGATATTTTGCCAAAACACATTAGAAACAGATGATTCTTTGCATGTGCGTTCATCAGGGTAAGATTGTTTCTCATTCTTTTTATGTCCTCCAGTATATTTTGAGTGCTGAAACAGGACAGGGTTAGTATTGGGGGGGGTTATTAATGTAACGCTGGCAACTCTGTGATAAAGAAGGGATGTCTTAACATTCTCTGTCAAAGAAACCCCTTAAGTTGTTAATTCTGGCTTATGGGCTCAGACACAAGTGGTTGTGCAAAGTCTGTTTGCAGTCAGTTCATGCGTGCAAGTGTGTTTTTCAGACAGATTATGTCACATACATGACAGAAGGAGCAGAAACATCGCGTGTGTACTCTGCACGTTGTATTTTGAAGGTTCAGGCTCTGCATACCACTGCAAGTGACTTTTCTGAGTTTCCACAGTTCAGTCAGCAGCATTTTTACAAATACCTGTGGCAAATATCATAGTCCTTAACATAAAGATGAACTGCGGGGTTGAGACAAATGATTGTAGGTGGCTGAGTTACTTCAGCTTAATGAGTTACATATCTGTAGTATCAGAGTTATCAGCAGCTGGTGCACACTTGCCTGTGCCTGTTGAGAAACCATTGGGGTAGTTAACATGAATATATTTTATTTTACATCACAACTGTGTGAGTGGTCTGTCTCATCAGTTACCACATCTCAGCTGACCAGCAGTAACTCATCAAGCAACTGGGATCTGTTAGGCACAGTATATCTTACCTGAAGTTTTCCCCCTTGCATGTTGGAAGCCATGCATGCATGTTACACATGCTCTGAGCCTAAATACCAGAACCATGATTTTCCCTGTAGAAAGCACTGACAAAAAAAAAGGGGGAAATGATACTTTAAACGGTCAGGTATGCATGTTTTCTAGGCATTTGCTTAATAGAGGTTATGTTTATAAAGCACCAGGGCAGTGGATTAGTAGGTATTGTCACAGTAGCTAAGTTTAGCCCCACTGATAAGCCTGCTTAGAAATTCATCTTCAGATTCCCACATGATACGGAGTCTGGATTCCCTTCTCCAGTTTTCATCTTGCTGAAAGACTGGTAGTCTTCTGCCCTTATATACATCAGCACCTCATCATGGTGACAGGCATGCAGTGGGCTTTAGATGTATTCTAGTTCTGTAACAAGGCCCTAAGATTAAGGGGGAGATAAAGGGGAACTCCCAGCTTCAGCAGGAGGCTTGTGACCTGCTTTGTGGAGCAAATCATACATATATATTGCAGAAAAATTAATAGTTGCTGCCTTCAGAAAGGTTTCCCATGCTGATGGCAGAAGGTACAGGTCTTCATCATTCTGTTGTTCACTGCTCACACCCTCTCAATTCACACACGTGTGTTTTATTCCCCAGGGGAAGGCTCTTACATGGACGGCACTTTACATATAAAAGTATTACAGGGGATACAGCAATCACGTTTGTATCAACGGGAGTAGAAGGAGCCTTTGCTACAGAAGAGCACCCCTATGCAGCACATGGACCTTGGTTACAAGTGAGAGAGCCTCCTTCCTTTTTCTCCCCCTTCTTCCTTTAGTGTGTCCTAAAACTGATCCTGCTAAGGGCTTCTGTGGTTTAAAAGTGTAACAAACCTGTGTTTTCTGCTGCACCATGTCTTATAGCTCTTGCATAGTTTTTTCGGTAATTATGGATTCAAAAAATAATGGTGAACTGTTAACTATATTAATGGAACTCAAATTGATGAGCAGTGGCTGGGAAGTTAAAAAATCATCTGTGAATGCAAGCGTCCATTTTGTGGAGTCAGCGAACACTTTACAGGCAGTATTTACTCTTGATATCTTCCAGAAAGGAATTTGGGGAGGCAGAGTGGAATGACCTAAACAAGAATGGAGCCAGGGCAGAAGAGCTAGAAAGCTGTGGGACTGTGATCCTGCAGAGCCAAGATCTCGGTTTGACATCATCACTAACAGGGGAGCAGCACAGAGAGCACTGCTTCTTTCAGTTTCAGCTCTTTCCAATGGATTCTTTGACAAAAGCTCATGGTTGTGAAAGCACCCACACATTTTCTGCACCCAGTTTTTCTGTATCACAGATTTTTCCTTGGAAGCTCCCCATCTGCTTAATGTTGAGGGTCAGCCCTATGGAGCAGTGATGCACTAATGATACAATGGTGTATCACTAGTCTGACCTTGAATTTCTTCATGGTTATGAACATATTGCAAAAATAAAAAGCTTTGAGGAATGTGTTTATGCTGAAAAGCCCATCTCTGCGGGACTATATGCATGCACTAAGTCTCTGCCTTCATTGTTATTGTGGCATTCCTGCCTCCACTTCTGTTTTGAAGGCAGGGATTTGTTTTAGCATTACAGTGTTGCAGTTAACCTTCCAGTGACTTGTTTTCAAGGCATTCCACTGCCCCTGTTCATATGTCTGGAGGACATCATACCTTGAAATCTATATGACTTGTAAAGGAGCTGATCTTGGCTAGAATCATGTTGTGTGTAGGGATTTTCAAAGAGCTTGCGTGCTTTGATTGTACTGACTGGAAAGTGCAACACTCCTCTAATGATTAACAGCAAAGGGTCAGGTTTAAAGGTGGGTCATTTGCTGTTGGTCCCTGTGCTTGCCAACACATGATACACAGGATCTTGTGACTGTGTTAACTCCAAACATAAGTGTTTGTTTGCATTTACATCACATCTTGAAATGTATTGATGTGTAGAGTAGTCAGGTAACCTCTAAATTGTGAATAACGGCAAGGATCAGGTCACCATTCAGACGTTAACCCTTATGAACCTGGCTGATTCCATGTGTGTTGCTTTGGTGGAAAATTGTGGAAGATTTTTGGAGCAGGTTAGTGGGAAAGGTGAATAATTGCTGGCTTCTGAGCAGCAATGAGAAGCAAGTTTCCTTGCTTGTCTCCTACACAAGGTCAATGTATTGGATCTTCTCATCTGACGTGACTGGCTCCGCTGCTGGCTCCTGCCCTGTCCTGTGATGAGGATGAAGGAGGACAGACCGGGTAGGGGAGGAAGGGAAGCTAAAAGCAGCACAGGACAACTGGAGGAGCACCCAGTTGTGCAAGATACATGTGGGAGTGTCTGAGGCTCTTGGCTTAATACGCAATGGGAGGCTTCATCTGTGCTCAGCAGTCCCTTGTGGTGGTGTGAGCAGAGGAGGGAGGTTCATGTGGCTTTGCTTCAGAAGTAAAAGAAGTTGTGGTGCATAAGATTTCCAAGGAGGTGAGCTGTGTTTGGTTCAGTCCCTTGCAGCCTGGGCTGGCCGAGTTGGCAAGCCCTGCAAAGCTTTCACAGCAAGGCCCAGAGAGGATTTTCCTCCTCCCCTGCTTGGGACCCCAGGCACAGCGATGAGCTCCAAGGAGAGCTGGTGGCTGAAAGCAGATCACTGCAGTGCAGGGGCTTGTTGCAAAGACAAGTAAATGGAGAGCCCATAGAGAGAAAGAAAGATGGCAAGCGTCTCCTGTGGACTTTTCCCCTATCTTAGGGGAGAAATAAGAGCCTGAAAAATCCCGACCTTGGCTCTGCAGCAGCCAGCAACTGCCTTCTCTTGAGGCTGAGCTTTGGTGCAGTGAAAGCCCAAACCTGCAGACTAAACACAGTACCTCCTGTTTACATGCCGTGGGCTGGAGTGGAGCATGTCCAAGGTGGGACAGGCCATAGAGCTGCTGCAGTCAGCCCCTGCTCCCAGGCTGAGCAATGAGCTGAGAGTCGCTGTGCTGCAGTGGAGGGCTAGCAGATGACAGGAGCTTGGCAGGTCCCAGGGCCATTCCCACCGGACAGGTGTCTGTATCCCCACCACAGCTGGCACTCGGCTGTTCTAGCTGTCTCAGCAGAAAAGGCCAGGAGTTGTTAGACCACGGAGATTGTATACCCCGTTTCTATCAACAGCCTTTCCAGGTCACGTTTGAGGCATGTTAGTAAGGGAAGCCTGTCCTGCTGCTGCCCATGCTCTGGGGATGATGAGATTATTTCATTCTCTAGAGCTGTCAAATTGGCACCTTTCCCAAGTACTTGGACTTTTTTTTTTCTTTTTTCTTTTTTTTATAATTTTTTTCATTTAAGTAACATTTAATTACTTCTAAGAAGCCAAATTCTATTAAAGGTCTAAGCATGTCAGGCTGGTTTATTTCTGAACTTCTTCCACTGTGTCATGTATTGTTGAGTAGGGAAATTGCTTTGACTCAGAAATGTACAAACATATTCAATAAGTCCTCCTTGTTAACACTAGGCTCCTGTTTATATGCTAGTTACCCTGGCAAAGTCTCTGATGTGTAACACTTGGCATTAACATTACACATGATCAAAGGCTTCCGTGGTTCTTTCTTCCACCCCCCCTTCCCCCAGTGCTGTGACAGCAGAGCCCCCACACTGCCTCCCTAAGCACCTCTCCTCTCCTTTCCAAGGGGTGGATGTTCCAGATGCACAGCAAAAGGCCACATGTTGAAGGGTTAGGGATGCTGACCATGCAGACAGACTCTGACATTAACGACCCCATGGTGACATTCGTATTCCTGGTGGAGCATCCAAGGTTCTTGGTCCAGTGTCTGAGTTGAGCCAAGCATGCAGTTAATCTCACAGATCAACCTTGTTTGTCTCTAAAACCTACCCAAAGCAAGGTGAGGTTGTTCATGTGTTCTCCCTCCCTCCCTTACTTATGTTCCGGCAGATGATAAAGGTCTGTTGAAATGTGTTTCTGATCAAGCCCGTCCCAATAAAGTTGCCTGAGCCTTTAATACATATTAATATTATCCTGGGGTAGTTTGTGTCAAAGCCTGTCAGCATGCATCATCTTTTGGGAATTACCATCATTAAGTCTCCAGTGATGGGAGTCAGGACATGCTTCTGCAAAGCTCCTGTGCTTTTATGTGGAGCTCTCTGCCTGCCTAGCACAAAGCAGACTGTTCTCCCCTCCTACCTTGCTCACCTGGACTGCTTACTCTCCCCAGAGGGGAGAAGGAGGTTTGTTTAACCCTACCTTTAGATAACTTCTGCTCCTGCTGCTTTAGGCAGTCATTGTTCCAGGGAAGAAGATGGCACTCAAGTCTTTGATCATGTACAACGTACACGTTACGCATCAGATACTGCTGCAGACTCTGCCATATGAGCCAATACAGTGCAGTAAAAACAAACCTGGAGTTAGACTCCTTGTTAACTGCAAAATCTAGCACACAGAATGTAAGAAATGTCTCTGCACTTCAGCCTTGCCTCTGTTGCATGTGTATTTTGATGCTGTATCTAACTGAAGGATCGATCATACCTACTTTTCACAAAGCATGTCTGCCTCATTCAGTGCACAGAGACGCGACATGAATCAGGAGTGTGGAATAAGGTATACTCTTGCCTATAGGACTTCCTCTTTGTTTGTCTGTCAAAATTAAGAGGTGTGTAGTAAATGAGACAGGTAATTGCAGAAAAATCACAATAGTTTTATGGCTAAGTCTTTAAATGTTGCCCTGGAGAATTGGATCCTGTTCTGCCTCTACTACTCTGTTCCTCTTAATGCTTTTCCACAGAGTCTTGAGCTCAAATGTAGTCGTGTGGCAGCTGAGTTTGTATTCCATGTTTTCTGGGTGCTCAGCTCGAGACCTGAGGTCTGACCTGTGTTCCCAACAGCAGAAGGAGGCCAGGAGGAATTCCTCTGTGGATACCCCTGTGCCCTGCAGGGATGAGTGGGCAAACAGAAACCTGCAAGTCTCGAGACAGGCACCCACAAGGAGAAGACATTCAGATCCAATTTTCTCTTCACTTATTTTCCCATGTCTGTTCAGGAAAACCTTCTTCCAGTCATCCTGCGAAGATTAATTCCGTGCTTGCCAAGCATTCCAGCTCCACAGATGAGCACCAGAAACAATTTCAGGAAGAGATTAAAATTTGTTCTTGCAGGTCAGGAGAAGGGATCTCTCTGGGGCAGGGGGGGCAGCCTGGGAGTCGAAGAGCCATGTTTGGCTCCCTGCTCTTGCAGATTTTCTCTGTGACTTTGTTAAGGCTCTTTGCTTCTTCCAGCCTCCCTCCCCCATCTGCTGCATGGAGAGGAGCACTTCTCTGCCTCGCTGAAATGTAAGGCTGAGCACGTCAGAGGCTGTGAGAGCGGTAAGGACAGTAAGATTAGGTACTTCCAGTGTAATCCATGCTGGCAGTAGTTGGATGGAGCATACTAAATAAAGGGGAAGAGAGTAGGAGGGAACAGGGAAGCAACTTGAATGATAATGCAAAGAAATGATGACTAATGCTGCATTCAGTGAGCAGAACCATCCTGAGGACTGAGCAGGGCATAGGTCTTGTGGGAGAAAAACTGCAGGCGATCCTGTGATTACAGATTTGTTTTGTGAGGCAGACGTACACTGGAGCCAAATTAGCATGGCACAGGCACTCTCTGCAGCCATTTCCAAAGTTTTGTATGCCCAATGTCACTGGTCTCTGAGTCTAGAGGGGCTTTTTTTCCAGGTAACTTACTCAGTTTCAGGATGATTCGGCAGATGGAGGCTATGGTTCATTTGCAGTTGGCACCCTTCA